TGTTCTCAGACGTGTCTATTTCATCACAACCTTTGATTTATTTAAAATCTTCCATCATCAGCACTCACTAAGAGAAGAACACATAAATCACTAAATGTTCCATGAGAAAATATCCGTAGATTCATCGTGTTTCACATTTTGTTTCTAAAGAGATTCTACTAACAGCTTTTTGTTCTAATCGAAAAAACTGGAAAAAAAATCGTGCGGCTATAGAAATTAAGCTTTATAGTTTTCCTGCATAGTAGATGTACTCTTTAGCAGCCGAGTTGAAAAGAATCATCGAAAAATACTTTGAAAAAATAGATGTATTTCAAACATTCATATTTTGCTTTCTCTACTTGGACTGAAAAATTCATGATTAAAGAGTCCAACAGTTTCTGCTTGTTGCTTTGAAAAGATAACGCTGCAAAGAGGACTTCATATGCAAGAAAGGTGCGCATGCATTTCATATGTATCACCTGCATCAACAAAGAATGAGATAACAGCTCACTTATATGGTCCATATTTGTTTTATGGACGAAAATAGAATCAATAAATAGAACATAGTACAACATATATCAGAATACACAACAAGAAATGACGAAGAAAGTCAAGGCAGTTCGAAAATTCTTATTATTATTTAGTGCAATTATTGGTCTAATTGCAGTTATTCTAGCAATTGTTGGCGTTGCAACAAGAAATTGGGTTAGTGTTCAGGGAGATACAAATGAATTACAGACTAAATTTGGTCAGCTGCTAGATGCGAATGGGACATTTGTTGTCAATGCTGCTGCGTCTATAGCTGCTTTAGGAATACCACCACCGCTAACGAAACCGATTGTAATTAGCCTTGCAAATGCAACACTCATACAAGTAGAAAGGCAATTGAGTAGTAATCTTCAGTTAACAACCTATAGTTTATTTGATAAAAAAGTTTCAGCTGCAAGAACAGAAGTTCCAGAATTAAAATTATCACAAGGTCTTGTTATTACCGGTTTAGTCTGTCTCTTTAGTGGAACTTTATTGGCAACACTTATTTTTTGCATTCCTGTTAATTTACGGTATATTAGTCTCATCGCCACTGTCTCTCTGTTCTTCCTTGCTCTCGGCTCAATTCTAATTCTTCTTGGCTATTTACTATTTACAAAATCTATCACTGAAGATTTTGGACATGAACTTGGAATTAAAGTTTCTTTAGGGTACAGTTTTGTTTTGGTTGCGATCTCTTCGATTATTGGATTTCTCACAGCCATTAGCTTTGCATTGTCACGGATTCCATATGTTCATCATGCCAGAAATATGATGATAGCAGGTGAAACAACAGATACGATTGGGCACGCTATCGGTTTAAGCGATCAACAACGAATTCCAGTGCCCGTGGAAGTTAATGTATCAGTCGAAGCAACATAATCGTTTTAAACACTCGAATGATTTCAAAACTTGACATTTTTTTTCCGGAACTAATATTTGCCTCTATCTTTTTTTGCATAATAAATTCTGAATTTTTTCACTATTATAGACAGACCTTAAGGCTCTCTAAGCCTTGTCGAGAAGGTTCGAAAGGATTGAAGCATGTTCAAGTGTTGGTAGGTCGTCTGTCAAAGATAAATTGTTTAACTGGACTTACTTACGAGGAAACCGCCGGAGGTGCCCAACGCCGATTCCCTTCATTCATAGATCGCTTGATAGAGGGCATTGAGATAGTAAAAAGTCTAAAAGGATTTGTGCTCACGACTCTTTCTTGAAAAGTTAGGGCCAATTTTCTGTTCTTCCCAGCTAAAATGGCCAAAAATTGAAAACCTTACAACTCAGTCAAGAAAGATCGTATACACTTGAAATTTTCAGCCCTACCACCCAGTCAGACAAGCAACGAAAAATAACGCGTAAAAAAGCGTAAAAACCGCATATTTTTGCGGTTTTATTTTCGTTAAAAATTTTAACGCGTTTTTTCCAGAAATAAGTGACTTTTTAGCAGAATAACTCCTATAATCCCTGCTCTTACGTTCCTTATGAACCCTTTTTATAGTTTTAAACAAGGTAAATGTAGGGATTATAGGTGCTATTCTGCTAACAAGTTGCTTATTTCTGCAAAAAACGCGTTAAAACGCGTTAAAATTTTTAACGAAAATAAAATCGCAAAAATGTGCTGTTTTTAAGCTTTTTTACGCGTTATTTTTCATTGCTTGTCTGACTGGGCAGCTCACAAGCACTGCTGATCAATATGAAAGTTCTAGATTGTTTGGTTGTTTCATTCTTGATTTACAGGATTTTGTTTATCATTTAAAAACAGGAATTCCGTAGCCTCAAGAAATCTGATTTTTGTGTGAGAGCTTCAGAAGTAAGAAAACTCAATGTTGTGTGAGAAATTTCGCCGTCCATCCGAGAATGGAGGTCATCTTCGATCTGCCATGTAGAGATCTCTCACATTAGAAAGATATTTTCTTTATCAAAAATCTTATACAAGCAAAACCACAGCAAAAAAAAACTATTTCCAAACTGTTTATCTTGGTTACACGTTTAACTGAAATCAAAGAAAACGAACGAGAGCAAGCTTATAATAAAGAAAAAATTTCAATGTTTGTGATAGCTATCATAGAAATGCAAGAAACACATAGCCTTTGAACAGAAACTACATTTTACAAATGGTGCATTTCTACAATTTGGTTGGCAAACAACGAGCTTCAGAAAACGAAAAACAAACTTTTTTGACATTTTGAAAGGAACTAGGGTTGGATTTCAAATATCCTGATTGATACCATGCATAAAGATTCATTGGGATGAACTTCGATGAAGACAGCTGATTATAAGCCAAACTATTCATTTTTATTATATTGTTTCGTTGAGCTAAACTGAAATCCAAAACATAAAGACGAACATGATTGTAAATTTCTCGAATGAAGCGTTTGTACTGACGACTCCACCTACATCCAATGGTTGAATCATTGACGTTGTCTTTTTTGGAATTTCAAGTCGCTTTAAATGCTTCATTTTATTATATAGCAGTTCAGTCCTCTGTCCATCTCAGTAATCACTTAAGAGCAGACATTTTTTGTCACCAACCAAAGGCAAACGTACGCGATCACTCCAATATTGTGCAAGACTGGTTGTTAGCTTTCCTGATTGGCTACCTAAAATTTGAGGAAAACACGTTAGACATTCATTCTTCGACCCTTCTTTATTCGTGGCATCACATTCTTCGGTTCTGCTATTCGTCCACCACAAAATAATGGTAGAATAGTGTACACAGTCGAAAGGAAAAGGAGCAAAAATACGAGAACATAGCTGATGGATAACTTACAGGTAATTATTAGATTATCCGCCTGAAATAGGCTTTGTTTGATAGTTTCACTGATATGCC